GTCGCGCTGGGCGCCGCGGGCGGCCGTGCTCTCGGGGCCCGGGCCCACGACGCTCGTGTGCGCCAGCGAAGTGGGCAGCTGGTCGTACTCGCAGCGCCACAGCCGCAGCCTGTGCGTGGCGGACGGCGCGGCCAAGAGCGACCTCATGGTTTTCAGCCCCAACTTCCCTCCGCCGCCGCCCGGCGCCGCGCCCAAGGACACGCAGCCGGAGCCCTCCGCTCTCCTCCACACGGTCAGTGCCAATACCCTTCTCGTCTCTCTTCTATCCCCTTTTGCACCTTATCTCTCCATCCATAAGCTGCTCTGTTATCCGGGCCCCGCCCCCGCAGCCTGAAGTCGATGGCTGCTTCGGTGCGTTAATTTCTCCATTGTATCTGCTGCGTCGTCCTTGAAGAGGGAGGGTGTCTCTGTAACCCCTTGTGGTATGCACCTGAAATTCACTGCTGTGGGCATTGCTGTGGAATTGTTCTGCCCTAGAATGAATTCTTTGCTGATTGCAATGAGAGCTGTCCTGTGATTCCTCGATGTTTCCGTTTTGGAGCCAGCGTTCCTTCTGGCTGGTTGTGTGGGTTTCCACGAGCTTGCTTAATGTGTGCAGGATAGGCTGTGGTGGTGACAGTCCGTCAGGTGCTGTGTATCTCCTCACTGCTTCTGCTGGCTGCTGGATGTGGTGGTATCACGTGTGGTTTCTTCCCTGGCCTGATGTTCTGTCATTTGTTCTCTACAAGAGATGCAAGGCAAGGTGATAATGTGGACTTCTGTCCCCATTTTTTTATGGAAGCTGGGAAGGTTTTGTGGCCTTTTCATATTTTGTTTCCCACCCAGCTGTTGTTACAATTTGCTATCCTGGCTGGAGAGGTAGTTTGATGGTCACTGACCTCTTTTTGGTATGTTTTTTTCAATATTTACATTTGGAACACATTAAAAAGTTCCCCGTAAATCCTCTTCTAAGTAACAATGGCCACAAAAAATCTTAAAATAAATTTCTTGTACACGGTGGATGGCCTCTGTCAGTGTCCTTTTGCACGAGAGCTGTCCCAACATGACTGCTACAGGAAATAGTGATCTCAGATCTCAGAACAAGATGCACCTGCAGAATCTTCCAGACCATGTATATGTTGCCATCTGTGGGGATTTCACCGGTGGGGATTTCTTTCTTTCCTGGGAAGGTGAGGAAAAGTCTAGTTGTCCCTTGAAGTAGGGAAAGGAAATTTTGCCTTGCCACGGAGGTGAATGTGGCAGTGACACTGAGGAGGTCCTGGCCATGTCCTGGTTTGAAAGGTGACCTTGAGCACTGGGAAGCCTCCTCTGAGGGAACCTGAAATCATTTGTAAGACAATAGGTCATATCATAGGAGGTCTGGAATGGGAATGATACCCTTTTCTGGAGAATAATTGTTACAGACTGGGGATGGAGGATGCTTAGAGGAAAGCAGGAGGCAGGATGGGCCCAGAGTGTTTCTGCCCAGGATCGTTTATATGTTCCAAGAGTCTGGTGTTGCAAACCCTCTGCATCATGAGACAATATCTGGTATTGAAATGGCCACAGAGTCTTTTGGGTTTATGAATTTCTTCCGTCAGAGACAGTCCCTTGTGCTGCCTCTGGCCTGACGTGGAATGCGTTGGGTGACAATTAATCGAGACAGATGAACATTTTTGCTGCTGTTTTGGGAAGTGTTGTTGTGGGAGGGTGGCAATACAAATTGCTTTCCATGTGTACTATAGAGCATTTATAGCAGCTTCCACAGCTCTTGGCATGGGGGATCTTTGCTTTATCTCATCAGAGATAATTTTTAAGGTCAGTTGAAGAGATGGGTTTAATCTGGTGCTTTTCTTCCTCTTCTTGTGCTCCTGCATGGTCAATCTGGGTAGAGAAGGTGTGTCCTGTTATCACACATGGCTAATTCTGGCGTCTGGATGTGCACACCAATCCTCCACATCTACAGAGCTGCCCAGCTCTGGCTTTCTCATCTTGAAATTGTCGATAGTTAACATTTTGTGTGCACTTCTGCTTTTGGTGTGATCTCTTGAAGAAGATATGTGGGGATTTGGATCATTATTGTTCACGAGTCTAATCACAGAACATTTAATAACTCATTCTGTATCTGCTATTGCTGAAAAGGCACGAAGCATCCTGGCATGAGGGAAAAGTCAGAGTCACAGAAGGGATTTTCAGCACTCTGTGTATTTGTGCCAGCCATGGGAGAGAATTTGAGTACGTCTTTGGGGTTTGGGGAGGGAATAGAGACTTTCTGCTTAACTGCGGAGAATCCAGTTCCAGGGTGTAAGATACAGGATCACAATAGTATCTCGTGTGGGGGATCTCACTATACATTGCTGCTCTTCTGGAATCCTACCAGGGCGTCCAGAAGTTCTGCATATCTTAGGGTACTGTTGTTCTTTCTGGTATTGCTGCTTGTGAAGACATCTGCCTTGTGTGCCTTGTGGTTTTGATGTGGAATATTTTGATGTGGAATAATTATTTGTTTTTAAGGTGGAATATTGTTTGTTAATGGGAAGGTTTTTGAAATTTGGGTCATGCTGCCGAGGCTTCTCTGAACACTTCCTTGAAGTCAGAAGAGAAGAGGAATACGAGCTTTTTCTAAAGAATATGTTCCTACACCATATCAAGAATGTTGAAGACATGGTAAGATAAGTCCCTTCTTGGTAAAGGAAAAGTGAACAGAGAGTGGAAATGGAATTAAATTGAAAGCAAGAAGAGTGCAATGGAGGAAGGAAAGGTGGATATAATGAGAGGGAAAGAAGAAAGACGTAGAAAAACAGAGAGAGAAAGGAACTAATTATAAATTAGTTCACTGGCACGTCACCAACAGTACCCCTAGACACAACAATGGAAGAATGCAACAAAGGAAAGAAAAAAGGAGGAAAGGAAGAAGAGAAAGATAACTGGAAAGAATATGCTACTAAATAATGGCACAATGAGGTAATTAAGAATGGAAGATTACAAAGAGAAGAAATTTAAAACAGGATTACGCACGGATGTTGCCTCAAAGTGCTGGTCGGAGCTGGTTGTCAACAGGATCCGGCTCGGTTTAGAATACTGCGTTCCAGCGCTGATACCAAGGAATTAGAGTTGGTGGATCCGAATAATTTTGTTTGGAGCGCGGCGCCGGAGACGACAGGCAAGATACCAGAAGAGATAAAAAGAGAGTATCGGAAACAGTCCAAAGGATAAAGTATAAAGGAGCGCTGTAAGAAGAAGCAGCAGGGCAGACGGCCATGAGGGAGCGGAGGCAGGGGCGCGGTGTCGGAGCGTGTGAGGCGGCGGAGCAGCGCACGGTGTCGCTGCAGGCTCAGGAACGGCGTGTGGGCGGCTCCGCCCCGGTGCGGCGGAGAGCCCGGCTGTGAGCGCGGGGGGGCGGCGCGGGCCGGGCAGCAGAGCCGGTGCGAGCGGGCGGCGGCGGGGAGCCGTGCGGGGCCCGGGCCGGGGCCGGCGGCCGGAGCGGCGGCCGGAGCGGCGGCGGTAGGGA